TGGCTGATTAAACCACCCATTTCTCAAGGGTGTGTGAAACTGTGTCTCATTTGTGTGGAGAGTCTTCCCACTAAGGTAAGGGAAAGTTCATATTTTCTAGCCCCTTGTTGTTGATGACTGTGTTCATGATGGCCTGACAAAGATGCGTTCTAGGAACTTTTCAGTTTAGATGCAATCATGACCCCGCGTTTCTTGGCAAATCCTTTGTTTTCTGGGCTAGTCTGTTTTACAGTACATTTTGGTGTACTAAAGTGTTTCACTAATAGAGTTCATGGTGAAAAAGTAATGTGTTTACCCACCACTTTAAAAATGAGAACACCAGAGTTTCTAAAGTGAAAAAATTGAAAGCATAGTTCTAGATACAACAACCTCTCCTTGGGTCATTGAGAAGGTATATCAAGATCCTGCATGTCCTGTCTCCATGTCTGTGAGTGGTCCATATTGTCCCCTGTAGCTGTCCCAAAAGCAAGGTTCCCAGAGGGACAGGACACACAGACATGCCTGTCAATCCACCCTAACAAAACCAAAATGTTTTTGTTTTTGTTTTTGTTTTGGTTTTTCGAGACAGGGTTTCTCTGTGGCTGTGGAGCCTGTCCTGGAACTAGCTCTGTAGACCAGGCTGGTCTCGAACTCACAGAGATCCGCCTGCCTCTGCCTCCCGAGTGCTGGGATTAAAGGCCTGCGCCACCATTGCCCGGCTCCAAAATGGTTTAAAACAAGCAAAAGTATGTAAAAGGCTTTGCCTGAATCTTAAGAGTTTAAGCATTGTCCTCAGCTATTGGTCTCAGTCTTTAGACCCTTTGGCTACACTTTCAAAATGGCTTCGAGCACCTGTAGACACATAACATTGCATTCATGAGGATTGGGACCAGGGGCAAGCTGAATCCTCTGTCCTCCCTGAACCATCCTGTGTGGCCTATAGGCCCTCAACAGCTGTAGTTGGAAGACATGCGATCATCTAAAGATTACCTTTCAAGAAAGGCCGGGGAGGGGGGAGGAAGGAAGTGGGAGAGTTGGTGAGGAAGGAGCCAGGCAGGATGTGGCACAGCCACACACACAGACAGGTGTGCCATGGTCTGGACTGGATGATACAGCCATGCAGCACAAACTGCACTGTAGATGCCTCACAAAGGGACTATCCATTTGTATTCTTTCTCCTGAAGTCACTGGCTATTCCCCAAAGAAAGTCACTCATTCATCAGATCCATTCTCTGGAAAGCGGGGATATGTGACTTCAGCAGTGGGTGTCATACAGCTAGGTCAAGAGCAACGGAAGGGGTCAGCGTAGTAGCATGACAGCTTAGACTACGCTTCCGGAACCAGTCTACACTGGATGTGTGTTTTCTGTGGGACCCAGAGACACTGCGGCTTTTAAACTCATTGTTCTTTCCATTCTCCCATTGCTCACGTCCTCTCCAGCTTTACATCATATGCATGTTTACACTCATATCTAAACCTGGACTCCAGCTATAAAAACAGGCAGCATTTGTTTGACATAAAACTGTTGTGTAGTGTCTGGAGACGGGGGGGGGGGGGGAGAGGAGGGGTGGGAGAGAGGAGAGAGAGAGAGAGAGAGAGAGAGAGAGAGAGAGAGGAGAGAGGAGAGAGAGAGAGGAGAGAGGAGAGAGAGAGAGAGAGAGAGAGAGAGAGAGAGAGAGAGAGAGAGAAAACGCTGGTGTGCATATGTGCATATGCTGTGGTGCATTGAAGAACAACTTTTTGGACATTTGTTCTCCCTCCTTGTACTGGGGCAAGGTCGCTCTTGTTACTTCTGCTTCCCTGCCTGTTCCTGGCCTCCTGGTGATGCTCCTACCTCTGACTCTCATCCCCCTGGAGGGATGGGATTACAGATGCTCCAGTCTGCCAAGTTTTCTGTGGTACCAGAGCTGGAACACAGTGGTCAGGCTTGTGCAGCAAGAGATTTTACCCACAGAACCATCTTGCTGGCTTTCCCATGCATATTTTTTGACACGTTTGTCAAAAGTTAGTGGCTGCAGCTCTGAGAGCTTTCGAAGTCTTTTATTCTGTGACATTGGCACTAAGTGTCTGTTTTTGTGCTAGGGCCGTGCTGTTTTCATTACCATGGTTTGGGGGTACAGGCTGAGATCGGGTCTTATGATAACTCCAGCATTGCTCTTTCTGCTTAGAATTGTTTTTGCTATTTGGGGTCTTTGGTGTGTCCACGTTATCTTTCTGACTCCCTTTTTCTAGTCCTGTGAAGAATGTCATTAGGATTTTGATGGCTATTGTATTGGTAGGATAGACATAACACCACATTAATTCTTCCAGTCCACGAACATGGTGGTTTTTCTAACTTCTGGTGTTTCAATTTCTTTCACCCCATCCCCTCTCTCTGGGTATGTACATGTGTTTTCAGGTATGCATATGTGCAGGTGGTAGCCAAAGGATAGCTAATGTCAACTACCTTCCTCAGTCATCCACCATCTTATTTTATTTTATTTTAGGTGTAAGAGTGTTTACCCTGCATGTGTGTAAATGCACAGCATCATGCGTGCTATCCGCAAAGGCTAGAAGAGGCCCTGGAACTGGAGTTCAAATGGTTGGAAGAACAGCCAGCGTGCTAACCATTGGTCCACGTAGCAGCATTTCCTGTTGGCCTGCCACCAGAGTTAGCAACTTTCCCTCACCCCTACTGGGCCACACCTAGCCTAGCTCTGGAGTTAGCACCCAGCCCTAATCCATCCTTTGTGTTACAGATACCTTTTGTCACCCAACGTGAATCTTGTCTGAGAGTTTTCCAAGGATACAATGCTTATGTAAAACTTGGTTAGGGGGCAGCATCAGCACCTCCTGAATCAGGTATTTGCCCTTGGCATTGTATTTTTGGAAGCTTCTTTCAGGTTGTTTTGAGCTTATGGAAATCAACTGGCTAAAGTGTAAATACAGGAAAAAATAAAAATGCCCTGGGGGAAGGAAAAAATGCTTCAGTCCATGAAGGCCGGGGACCCCTGTGGCCACAGAAGGCTAAGTTGATTCTCCAGTGTCTCTGAGTCTTCATTTCACGGACCCACGTGAACCCACAGCCACATGGCAACACCTTCAACAGATCCATCTCTCCAGACTCTCTATCTTTTCCAGTCCAAACTGGATGACACAGGTTTCTTTTCATTGTTATTTTATTTTACCAGTACGGGTGTTTTGCCTGCATGCATGTCTGTGTACCACATTCATGCAGTGCACACAGAGGTTAGAACATGGATCATGACAGGTGTGAGGCTCCATATGTGTGCTGGGAACCAAACCCTGATCCTCTGGAAGAGCAGCCAGTGCTCTTAACCACCGCAGAATCTCTCCAGCCCCTGACACGGGTTTCTTTTTTTTTTTTTTTTTTTTTTTTTTTGGTTTTTCAACAGGGTTTCTCTGTGACTTTGGAGCCTGTCCTGGAACTAGCTCTTGTAGACCAGGCTGGTCTCGAACTCACAGAGATCCACCTGCCTCTGCCTCCCGAGTGCTGGGATTAAAGGCGTGTGCCACCACCACCCGGCATGATACGGGTTTCTTAATAGCCACCCTCTAAAATAGTAAATCAGAAGTGGGGAGGGGTGAATGTACACGGGATGTTTTCAGGAGGTGCAGTTGAAGCTTGTGGCCTTATCTACCAGTAGGAGGCAGAAGGAGACGGCTGTCTGGGAATGGCACGAGCTTCTTAAATCTCAAAGCCCACCCACCCCCAATGACACATCTCCTCCAACAAGGCCACACCCTGTAATTCTTCCCAAACAGCTCCACCAAGAATTCAAATATATGAACCTGTGGGTGTCATTCAAACCACCACAGCAACATTCTTTTGTTTTCCTCACCTATATATTATCCTGAGATTATTTTAAGTTTTTTTTTGTCTGTGTGTGTGCTTGTGTCCTCATGTCCACTTGTGCACACATGTGTGCGCACATATGTATGTGCCTGCTGCTAGGAGAAGAGTGTGTCAGGTCCCCTTGATCTAGAGTTAGAAGTGATTGTGAGCTGCTTGCTGTGGTTTCTCGGAGCTGAATTTAGGCCCTCTGTAAGAGCAAGAAGTGCTTTGAACCATTGAGACATCTGCAACCCGAGTTGTCTTCTTTTAATCTTCCTTTGGGGGAATATTTTGAATGAGAGAATAAGATTGAACAAGTTATAGACTCCCTGTAGCAAGCTTTTTCTTTTGGACCACCAGCCAGCTCCCAGATCATGACACGGAGATTTTACTGTCAGTTATGAATGCTCAGCCGTATCTTAGCTCTATTTTAGCCTGGTTCTCTTAATCTGCATTTTGCCTCAGGGCTTTTTTACCTTTCTTCCTTTCTTTATGTCCTACTCTGTCTGCTGGGGGGGTGGGATGCCTGACTGGTCCCAGGCATTTCCCTTGTTCTCTCCTCTCTTCTCTCCTATTTCTTAGAGGCTAAATTTCTCCTCCTAGTCACTCTGTCTGCCCTCCATTCTTGCCTATACCTCTCCTGCCTAGGTACTGACTGTTTTGTTTTTTATTAGACCATTCAGGTGCCTTAGGCAGACGAGGCGAAACAAATGCAACACATCTTTTCATAATTAAACCAATGCAGCATAAACGAATGTAACACATCTCTGTCCAATTCAAATAATATTCCACAACAAATCCCCGTACTGGATTGCCATTAGCCATTTCTTAACCATTTCTATTTTGTGGTTTGTGAATCTACTTTTCACTCTGTTGTCTTCTTCAGGACTTGACTTATGTTCCCCCCCCCTTCATATGTTTCTGCTAGACCACAACCTATTGTGTATGTGTAAGGGCTTTAGCATAAATCCTAAATATCCCTTTACTATTTTATAAATCTTTCCATATATATATATGTGTGTGTGTGTGTGTGTGTTTGAGAGAGAGAGAGAGAGAGACAAAGAGAGAGAGAGAGACAAAGAGAGAGACAGAGACAGAGACAGAGAACACTGAATAAAGAGAAATACTTCCATGTCAACAAACATGAGCTGGTGGTGTCCTCATTTCTGTTCACAGACTCGGAAAGATGAACTCTTTCCTCTGGGATGACTTTGGGCCCAGGATACAGAACAGGGCCATGGAGCAGATCATCACACCCATGGCCATCCGGCTTTGTCAGCTGCTCATCTCAGTGGAGAGGAAAGAGGTACAGAGAGAAGCACTTGCCTCCTTGCAGAAGGTGGCAGAGGAATTGGCCAATGCAAGCGAGGCATTTGTGCATGCTGCCAGCAGGTAATATCTCCAAGGGACCTAAGGCCCTTGCCCTGACGGCCTGGCAGACAATGAAGCATATAAATAGAACCTGGTTCTAGTTTTCAATGCTTTGGGGACTGGTGGATGTAGCTCAGTACCTAGCATACAAGAAGCTCTGCTTAAGGTGGATGTGGTGGCGTGCACCTGTAATCCCAGAACTCAGGAGGTGGAATGTGGAGGGCCAGAAGTTTGAAGTTTTCCTTGGCTACTGTCTTAGTCACTATTCTATAGCTGTGAAGAGATACCATGACCAAGATAACCCTTTTCTTAATTAATCTTTTTAAATTAACTTTTCTCATTTTACACACCAATCCCAATTTCCACTCCCTCCCTTCCTCCCGCTCTCTCACCTTCCCTGAACCCCACCCCTATCCACTCCTCAGAAGGGGTAAGTCCTCCCATGGGGAGTCAACAAAGTCTGACACATCACTTTAAGGCAGGACCAAAGCTCTACCCCCTATATATAGGCTGAGTAAGGTATCCCTCCAAACAGAATGCGTTGACAGAGATTTCTGTTCTGTCAGGTCCTGCAGCCATTCAGTCCCAAAGAAACACACAGAGGTCTGCATTAATCGTAAACTGGTTGGCCTAGTAGCGCAGGCTTCTTATTAACTCTTACATCCTACATTAACCCATAATTCTTGTCTTTGTCAGCCACGTGGCTTGGTACCTTTTATCAGAGAGGCATTCCCATCTTGCTTCCTCTGCTTCTGGGTCACGACTGCAGACTGCGACTTTCCTCTTCCCAGAATTCTCCTGTTCTTGTCTCCCCACCTGTACTTCCTGTCTGGCTACTGGCCAATCAGTGTTTTATTAAAATGATACAACTGACAAATCTTTACAGGGTACAAGATCATTGTCCCACAGCAAGAATGGAATCCAAAATGCCAGTTCAAGCACTAGGGATAAATCCTGGTCCCACTACCAGGGGCCCCACAGACTGCCCAAGCCACACAACTGTTACCCACATTCAGAGGGCATAGTTTGGTCCTAGCAGGTTCCCCCACTGTCAGTCCAGAGTCAGTGAGAGCCCACTAGCTCAAGTCAGCTGTTTCTGTGTGTATCTCCATCATGGTCTTGACACCTTTGCTCATATTATTGCTCGTCCCTCTCTTCAACTGGTCTTGGGAAGCTCAGGCCACTGCTTAGCTGTGGATCTCTGCATCTGCTTCCATCAGTTGCTGGATGAAGTTTCTATGATGACAATTAAGGTAGTCATCAATAGGGTCTTAGCTGGGGTCATCCTTGTGGATTCTTGGGAATTTCCTTGGTGTCATGTTTCCATAATGGCTCCCACAATCCATAACCAAGATAACTCTCATAAGAGAAATCATTCAATTGTGGGCACTCTTACGGTTTCAGAGGTTCGTCCATTATCATCATAACAGGGAGTACAGCAGCATGCAAGCAGACATGGAGAAGCAGCTGAGAGTTCTGCATCCTGATCCAATTGGAGAGGGAGCCTGGGCTTGGAATGGGTTCTTTGAAACAAGTCGATTAACTCCTAATTCTTCCAAGCCTTTCAAATAGTACTACTCTCTAGTGACAGAGCTTTCAAATGCATGAGACTGTGGGGGCCATTATTGTGTATACAGTGTTCTGTCTGCATGCATGCCTGCAGGCCAGAAGAGGGCACCAGATTTCATTACAGATGGTTGTGAGCCACCATGTGGTTGGTGGGACTTGGACTCAGGACCTTTAGAAGGGCAGGCAGTGCTCGTAACAGCTGAGCCACTCTCCAGCCTGTGGGGGGGTCATTCTTATTCAAACCACCACAGCTATGTAGTCGGTTTGAATCCAGACTGAGCTACATGAGACCCTGCTTCAAAAATAAAATAAAAAAATAAAATAAAATAAATGCTTTCTGAAAGAAGACGTGTGGAAAATAAATTAGTATAAGAATGGATATAGATTGTTTTAGTTTGCTTCTCTGTTGCTGTAACAAAACACTGGCCAACAGGCCAACAGCAACTTGGAGGAGGAAAGGGTCCACTTGGCTTAACATCGTCATCGAGGGAGAAACTCAAGGAAGGAACTTGGAGGCAGGAACTACAGAAAAAGCCGCGGAGTGACACTGCTTGTTGGGCTGCTCCTTTGACTGCTCAGCTACACTTCTGGACTAGCCCAGGCCCACCTGCCCACGAGTGGCACCGCCCACAGTAGGCTGGGCCCAACCGTGTCAATTATCAATAAAGAAAATGTCCCCATAGGCCTGTCTACAGGCCAATCTGATGAAGGCAATTCTTCAGCCCAGGTCCCTCTTCCCAGGTGTGCAAAGCTGATGACCAAGATTAGCCCTCATGGAGTTGGGGCAAGGCCTAAAGATCATGTGACTCTAGGAAGGTAAAAAGGAAAACTACAGTGAGAAATAATGCAAGATATTTGTTATAAATTATGTACAGGAGCTGGAGAGATGGCGGAGCACTTAAGAGTGCTTGCTGCTCAATTCTGAACCTAAGTTCAGGTCTCAGAACCCATGTAATAACATTCATACACATACCTAAAATAAATTATGAAGGAATTTAGTAACAGAGCAATTTTATACCAACTTAATACTTCTTTGTAGATTTTGAATTTCTGACAATGCATTTTTTTAATCACAAGAAGTACAGTCAGTTTTGAGAGAGGCTAAATATTGTTTGTGTTCACTGCAGGATAAATGCCTTTGCTCCATTGTTTGACCCTGGCAAGATAAATTATTTATACAGACAATTATCATCAGTGTTCATGACCGTGGGAAACGGTCCAGCCTTCTTTTTCCTAGCAGAACTGTGATAATAAACATTTGGACTTGAGTTAGGCTCCACCATCGCTGAGCAGTTCCCAGAGAAGCCAAATGGAGGCCAGCAGCACACCCCACTGAGTGTTGTTGGGCTGGCAAGTTCCTGCCTTCCTTTGCTGGGCAGGCTCTCAGGGGGCCAGGACCTGCCTCATCAGCTGCTGTCCGTCAGCCAGCCTGTGCCAGTGAGAAGAGGCCGGCGCAGGGATCCGTTTCCTCTTGCTTAGAAACATATCTTATGATGAACGTTTAGGAAATATGAATGAGAAAAAGAAAGAAAATAATATTGCCCACAAACCTGCAGCCTAGAGAGGCCAATCGGAGGATTCGAGTATATACTTACCCCACATGCTTTCCTTCTCTTTCTAACTTTTCCCTCCCCATCACTCCACTTTCAGTTTTTTAAAACTCATATAAAACTATCTCTGTTAGGGCTGGAGAGATGACTCAGTAGTTAAAAGGGAGTTCTGCTCTTGCAGAGGACTGAGTTTGGTTTCCAGAACCCATGTCACATGGTTCACAATCACCCTTAACTCTAGTTCCAGTGAGTCTTTCATAGGAACCTGCACCCACTTACACATAAATACACACACACACACATATGTATAATTTACATATTATTTAAAGTCTTATTATGTATATAATAACGAATGAAGAAAGTATGATACATATACATATATATACAAGGAAATATGATACACGTAGACAATAAAATTACATTTTATTCACCTATAAAGAAATTGTGACATTTTCATGACAATGGAAGGTACTAGCAATCATCATATGAAAAGAAATAAGACAAACTCAGAAAGATAAACACCATGTTTTCTTCACTTAGATCTAAAATTGTTTGTGTGTGTGTGTGTGTGTGTACACGTGTGCGTGTGCTCGTGTGTGGGCATGTGTACACATGCCTGGAAGTTGTGGTACTAGAAAGGGAATCATGAGGGGGAGGAGGAGAATAAAGAAGGCAGTGGAATACATGTGACATGAAAACAGAATGGGGGAGCCTGTGGAGGAGAGAGGAGCACCAGGAAGGGCGGTGAGAGAGGGATGAGGTCAAGACGTCAATGTGGGGGGACTTGATGAAGTCCATTACCTTACACACTAGCTTAAGTTAATTTAAGAGGTTTTAAAAACCTGTGTGGGTGTTCCTATCCACATACGTGGTATACATGTACGGACACACGCGTGTTTGTGCAGGTGCAAGGGCATAAAGCAGTCTAGACTGATAAGCCCCACTCATCCCGGGTCTGTGTGAACAGTACTCTGAGATTGGATAGCACAGTTTCATATGCGTCCTGGTAGCTTCATACATATTTCACTGTTTAAGGCATTGCCAGGGGTGTAGTTGGGGTGAATCTGGGAGGAGTAATGACCCAAACACATCACAGGCATGTATGAAGTTGTCAAAGAACTAATTAAATACTATTTTTTGAAAGAAGTTGCCAGGGCTGGAGAGATGGCTCAGAGGTTAAGAGCATTGCCTGCTCTTCCAAAGGTCCTGAGTTCAATTCCCAGCAACCACATGGTGGCTCACAACCATCTGTAATGGGGTCTGGTGCCCTCTTCTGGCCTGCGGTCATACACACAGACAGAATATTGTATACAAAATAAATAAATATTTAAAAAAAAAAAAGAAAGAAAGAAGTTGCCAGCATATGTCACATTGTGTTCAGCAGTACGCGAACCCAGTTCTCACACACATTCCTCAGCCCCTGAAATAGTCAGAACTTTTTGTTTGTTTTTCGAGACAGGGTTTCTCTGTGCAGCCCTGGCTATCCTGGAACTCACTCTGTAGACCAGGCTGGCCTTGAATTCACAGAGATCTGCCTGCCTCTATCTTCCTAGTACTGGGGATTAAAGGTGTGTGCCATTATTGTCCAGCTAATAATCACAATTTTTAATTTAGCTATTTTAGCAAATGTTTTTACTGTGATTTTAACTTTAATTCCCATGAAATAATGCCTTAAAATATTTTTATTCAAGCCTGGAGGTGGTGGTACAAGCATTTAATCCCAGCACTTGGGAGGCAGAGGCAGGTGAATCTCTGTGAGGTCAAGGTCAGCCTGCTCTGCAAAGTGAGTTCCAGGACAGCCAGGGCTCTGTTATGCCGATAAACTGTCTCAAAAAGTTAAAACAACAACAACAACCAAAAAAAAAAAAACCAAAAAAATAAAACAAACAACAACAACAACAAGAGATTCAGAAGCACATATATAGGTGTGCACACCAATTCAAAGGACACAGAGAGAGCACTTAGCTATTTGTGTGCAAAAGTAATTGTGGAACTGTATACGAAGATCAATTCAAAATCCATCAAATGTCTAACTATAGCTCTTAATCTTATAAATGATTCATAAAGAAACAGAGGGATCCGAGTCTTTGAGATCTTGGGTTAAGTACAGATTTCCAGATGTAAAACTGGAAGCTTGGCTCATGAAAGGACCAAACAAGCTTCTCTTTGGAGGACTCTATTAAATAGGCAGAGAAGAGTAGCCAGACGCTGGGAAACGCTTTTTCATGGAGGTGTGCTGACGGTTGTCTACAGCCTTGAAAGTGCATCAGAACTGACGGGAATCACAGAATCAGAGCTCCTTTCACGTTTAACATCGTGGGTGATATAAAATAAATACACTTATACAAATGCACAGTTGCTGCTGCATGCAGTACGGTCCACTTTACAATGTATAATTATAATAATTATAATGTAAAATGTATAATTAGTGGTTTTATAGATGTATCCATAGATACAGACGTGGTTTTATTGTTTGTTACTATTATTTGTCTTTTCGACTACTGGATTGTTATAAACATTTTACGCTTCTTACACCTTTATGATCTCTACACATAATGCTATCACACAATCTTTGTGCTCAGGCAGTGTAAACAGAGATGCTTTTGATTCACCCAGGTACAATCGCCAGCATCCATTTTCTCATCAATAAGAAATAGGGGCTGGTGAGATGGCTCAGCCGGAGGAAGCACTTGTTGTTAAGCATAACGTCATCGTTAGATTCCTGTTGCTGTGGTAAAAACCCCATGACCTAAAGCAGACCTGGGAGGGGAGGGTTTATTTGTCTCGAGGATACAGCACTTCATCAGGGAGAGCCAAAGCAGGAGCAGAGGCAGGAACCGTGGAGGAAGGCTTCTTATGTGCTTGCTCTCCATACCTTGCCCAGCCTACTTTCTTATACAAACCAGGACCACCTGCTCAGGAGTGGCACTGCCCGCCGTGAGCTGTGCCCTCCCACAACCAATATTAATCAAGACCAGCCCCACAGGCTTGCGTACAGGCCCATCTGAGGGAGGCACTCTTACAATTCCGGTTCCCTCTTCCTAGTTGGTTCCAGCTTGTGTCAGTTGACATAAATCAGGCAGCACACCCAATGACCTGAGTTCAATCCCGGGGCCCCCGTGGAAGGAGACACAAGAGTCATGGCAGAGACACAGCATCACGTTGCTTTGACTAACAACAAGCCAGTCTTAGTGTTCTATTGCTGTGAAGAGACACCATGACCAAGGCAACTCTTATAAAGGAAAGCATTTAATTGGGGCCTGACTTAGAGTCCATTATTATTATGGCAGGGAGCACGGCAGCACACAGGGAGCACGGCAGCACACAGGGAGCACGGCAGCACACAGGGAGCACGGCAGCACACAGGGAGCACGGCAGCACAGGGAGCACGGCAGCACACAGGGAGTATGGCAGCACACAGGGAGCAAGGCAGCACAGGGAGCACGGCAGCACACAGGGAGCATGGCAGCACAGGGAGCACGGCAGCACACAGGGAGCACAGGGAGCACGGCAGCACACAGGGAGTACGGCAGCACAGGGAGCACGGCAGCACAGGGAGCACGGCAGCACACAGGGAGTACAGCAGCACAGGGAGCACGGCAGCACACAGGGAGCACAGGGAGTACGGCAACACACAGGGAGCACGGCAGCACAGGGAGCACGGGAGCACGGCAGCACACAGGGAGCACGGCAGCACACAGGGAGCACAGGGAGTACGGCAGCACACAGGGAGCACGGCAGCACAGGGAGCACGGGAGCACGGCAGCACACAGGGAGCACGGAAGCACACAGGGAGCACGGCAGCACACAGGGAGCACGGCAGCACAGGGAGCACGGGAGCACACAGGGAGCACGGCAGCACACAGGGAGCACGGCAGCACACAGGGAGCACGGCAGCACACAGGGAGTATGGCAGCACACAGGGAGCACAGGGAGCACAGGGAGCACGGCAGCACACAGGGAGCACAGGGAGCACGGCAGCACAGGGAGCACGGCAGCACACAGGGAGCACGGCAGAACAGGGAGCATGGGAGCACGGCAGCACACAGGGAGCACGGCAGCACACAGGGAGCACGGTAGCACAGGGAGCACGGGAGCACGGCAGCACACAGGGAGCACGGCAGCACAAGGAGCACGGCAGCACACAGGGAGCACAGAAGCACACAGGGAGCACAGGGAGCACGGGAACACGGCAGCACAGGGAGCACAGGGAGCACGGCAGCACACAGGGAGCATGGTACTGGAGAAGCAGCGGAGAGTTTTGCATCCTGATCTTCAGGCAGCTGGCAGAGAAAGAGAAAACACGCTCAGCCTGGCATGGGCTTTAGAAACTTCAAAGCCCGCACTCCCAGTGACACTTTCTCCAACAAGGCCTCACCTATTCCAAGATGGCCACACCTCTTAATCTTTACCATGCCCTGGTGATTAAGCATTTCAATATATGAGCCTATGGCAATCAATCTCATTCAAACCACTGCAAAGCCTAAAAGAAGAAAACCAAAAAGATGGAAGCCTGGTGTGAAACATACACCTCGGGCTCTTGTCAATACGTGGCATTGAATATCAGTGGTCTGGCTCACATTTCTCAGTGGTGGTTTAGTCTTTACCATATGCCCACGTAGCAATTAGAGCTACACTTCTTTTTATTGTAATAATTAATTAACTGATTGATATTTTTCCCCTTGAGACAGCATTTCTCTGTAGCTTTGGAACCTGTCCTGGAACTCATTCTACAGACCAGGCTGGCCTCAGACACCCAGAGATCCACCTGCCTCTTCCTCTGGAGTGCTGGGATCAAAGGCATGTGCCACCACCACCTGGGCAAAATTGTTATTTTTCTATTGTGAAATGCTTGTCTCCTGTCTTGCCCAGGGTCAGTTAAACTGAAAACCACGCATTGTGCTTCCTTTTTTAAAGCAATGTCCATTTCACATGGCCACTTGGTAGCTCTGATTTCTGACGCCTAAGTACTTTGGTGGCACAGTGAAAATAGTGTTCATATTTCTGTGTATCGTATAACTGAATAATAGCAACTTGCAGATAGGTTCATCCCCAAAGGAAAGGGACTGGTGTATGACACAAAGTGTCAAAACTTGCATCCAAGCACTCTGCGGAAGCCACATTTGATCTTTGAGAAAAGTCTGGAATATGTTTTCTCATTGGCGATCACTAACTCTTGGGATGTTTAAAATGAAGAACGACCTCAAGTGTTGATGAGAATGTGTGAGAACTTGAACTCTCTCTTTGATGAGTAGAACACAGTATGTTGCAACTACTTTAGAAAGTATTCTCTAAAAGTTAAACATATACCCGTTGTTATCTAAGAGAAATGGACTCCTGTGTCCGCACGAAGACCAAGGCATGCATAGCCACAGCAACCTTCTTTCTTTTTAGTTCTGTGTCCCCAGTACTGGGGATTGAACTCAGAACCTGGCACTCGAGGCAAATGCTGCATTACCCAGTTAGATCACCAGCCTTTTTATTGCAAGCTTCAAAACAAGTTTCCAATAAGTTGCCCAGGCTGGCCACAAACTCCCTGTGTGGTCTATGTTCACCGAGAGCTTGTGGTCCTCCTGCCTCTGCCTCCCAAATAGCTGGGCTTATAGATGTGCCCCACCGTGCCAAGCTTGGTAGCTTTATCTTATTTTAATAACTAAGATAGAGTGGCCTCAGGTTTCTTACCTGAAACTCTGGAGGACAGAAGATGATGGATCAGTTGTATACAGGCAGTTGAAAAGAAAAGCCTGAGACTCAGAATTCTCTACCCAGATTGCCTGTCATTAACCTGTTTAACCTTAACGCATGAAGTTTGTTAAGGCTAAGATTGAGGTAACAACTCTAGTTCATAACTAAGACACCTGAAGAAAGGATGAAGAGAGTTTTTTTTTTGTTTTTGTTTTTTTGTTTTGTTTTGTTTTTTAAACTCAACATGTGTCTTGGCTTGTAAGCACAGGCGTCAAGGTTCAGTTTAATGGCCACCTGGTGTTGTGCCTTCTGTGTAGCCTCGTTTCCATGGGACTCTTTGGGCTTAACATGATAACATTCTAAGTGCAATGTGTCCACTCAGGCTAGCGGAAGACTCTGAGGATGAGTGGTTTAGGGAGGAAATGAAGCCAGTGGCGGAGTCTCTGACCCTCTCCGGGAGGAACATCCTGCTGGTAACCCAGAAGCTCCCCGTGCAGCCAGAGTGTGAGCGCCACTGGGAGGAGCTAGTGGCCACAGCTCAGCAGATCCTGGTGGACACTACCAAGGTGAGGCTCCCTCAGAGCTGGTTGGCAGCATGGTCATCGCTGGAGAGCACGTATGGCCATGCAGTTCTCACAGGGACTCCTGGCCGTCCCTTAATTTGAAACCTGCCCAAGTGCTTGCCAAGATCCTAGACAGAGTTCATTACCGATTTAATCAAGGCTAAAACTGAAGCTGTAACAGGAGCTGGTAAGAACCCCTCAGTTTCCAAACACACTCAGTTTTTCATCCTGACCCACATTCCTTTCTAAATACAACTTAAATTTACTTTGGAGAGTTTATGCATTTTTATTTTATGTCTGCGAGTGTTTGCCTGAATGTGTAGCTATGCACCACGTCTGTAAACCCATTGAGGAAGAGGCGGGCAGAGGAGGGCCTAGGAAATTCTAGTGTTGGAATTACAGACAGTTGTGCGCCCCCTTGTGGATGCTAGGAATCAAAGCTAGGTCCTCTGGTAGAGCAGCCCGTACACTTAACTGCTGACCCATCTATCTCTCTGGCCCGTTTACAACTTTTACATTGGGATATTGCTCCTGGTTCAAATACAAATCTTCAAAATATTTTGTTGTTGTTCATTGAATAACATCTGTAGTGTGGTTTATTGGAGCGTATTGCAGTGGGGTAGGGGAGGATGAGAGGCAGAACCGGAGGGGTTTGGGCATCTGCTGGTGGTGAATGAAAGAGAGAGAAAGGCTTTTGGCTTGGGTACCAGCCCCAGGGATAGGGAGTGGATGGATGGAGCTGTCTGTGAGAGGTGAGTCAGGCTAGAAAAGCTGCCTCAGGGAAGCCCTCCAGCCCATCGTTCTCATTTAAATAATAATACGTCTTTGGACAGTCCAGAGTAAACGCCACGCCCCCTAAATATGGAGAGAAGGCAGCCAGTTCAGACCTCTGGTTTACAAAGAAATGCGCACACACGCAAACCTCCAAGACTGGAGGGTGCATTCTCCAGTCCGGCCACCTAGACAGTGTGTTTGGTTACATTCAGGTTAAGTGACAATGTAAGGTCTCCTAGGCTTAAGCTACATGGCCCCAAGAATGTTCAGTCATCTTCAAGTCTCTTTCCTGTGACCGCCCCAGCAGGTCTTGCTGCTTGAAGACGCAGCAATGGCGAGGAAGACGGTGCCAGCGGCTGGTTGGTGCCTGACCTGCCTGGAGGCTCTGGAGGCGGCGGAGGACTCCACCTCGCTGCGCGCCTCGCTGTCTGACCTGGCGACTGCGCTGCTGCGACTGGGAGGCCTGACCACGCGCTGGGCCCGGGACGAACGCCTGAGTCGAGTTCGCCACCGGCTAGGGTGCTGCATCCCAGCGCTGCTCGCAGCCGCCCGCGGCCACCTCCGGCACCCGCGCGAGCCGCAGCTGGTGGCTTCACGGCGCCGCATCTTTGCCCTGACCAGGCAGAGCCTCAGGGAGCTCCTGGCTGTACTGCAGCCCGGCATTGCAGGGCCTGGTGCACTCTCTCAGAATGGCGCACTGGCGCATCGTCTACAGAAGCTGTGGCAGGTCCTGGAGGAGCCCGGGCCGAACCACCTGCGTGGTGAGCTGCTGGATGCTCCAATGGTTGCCGTGGTGTGGCACTGCCTGCACCTAGCCGCCTGCTCCACGCCAAGGGAGAGGATGCACCTAGTGTCCCATTGCCGCCAGCTGCTACAGCTCTGCCCTGGGCTGCACGGGTCTCCCCAGAACAGCCAAGGGACAGAATGCGAAGCTGTGCAGGCCGCGACTGAGGCGCTCTTTCGGGGAGTCCGCGCTGGATTACTGCACCAGATTCTGGACACGTTCACAGATACCCAAAGTCCTCTAGAGAGGCTGGTCCAGGCCGCCTTGGCGACTTCCACCATCAGGTACCAGTGCAATAGCGAAGCTTTGGCAGAGACTTTCCGACTTCTCCTTGATGCTTTTCACAACCAAGCCAAGCAAATGATCCGAGTGGCACACTTGGTTTGGGTCTGCTGCCCCCAACAGCAAACTGGCAGAGACGTGGAGGCTGCCGTGGCAGGTCTTTGGGGGCTTGTGGTCAAAGCTATGGAACTGTTTTCACAAAGTCCCCAAACGCAAGGCCTGGACTGGAGCCCTGACATCCTAGAGGCTCTGCTTGAGGCCTGGGCTAGGGAATCGGAACACCTCTTGGCATGCTTTGATGTCGTTCTCGATATTCCTGAATTCCTGAGTTTGTCCATCCAGGAAATGGCTAAACATTTGGACTTGTACACAAGTGCTCTGAGGAGCGGAGCACCCAGAGAATTTTCCAGACCTGTGGCGTTCTTACGCGGAAGAGCCACACACATAGTGCAGGTGATGAACAGGTATGTGGGTCAAGACCCAGATCCCATTTTTCGAAACGGGATGAGAGTCGTGGTTCAGCAGCTGGCGCAGTCTTCCTTGACGCTGGCTGCGGCCACTGAAGGCAGCACAGGTAGGGACAGCGCCCAGGACACGGGTGTCTTTTTAACCATGGCAAAACACCTCATCTATTCAGCTCAGCAAGTCCACGAGGGGCTGGATGGGACCAACCACCCAGACATCCTCAGCCCGCTTCGATTCCAAGTCCAAAGGTTTGACCTCGCCAAGGGATGGCCTTATTTGACTCTCTCCAGTCGCCAGCTTCCTACAGCTCCCAGGCTGAGATACCAGCAGGTGCCTGGGTTAGGGGGAAATGACATGAACACCTCTTTCCTACCCCTAGAACAACTTTCCTACACGGTGGTCCCTGACACCTGCAAACAGGGGTGGGGCTCACCATTCCTTGCTGTCAGCAAAGTCATCACTACTGTGGAGAGCCAGGAGCACCGGGTAGTGACCTCACCACGCACCAACATGCCAGAGCCCGAGTCCACTGTGAATACAGCCCCAGAAATCCAGGCTGGGGAAGCACCCCTGGGACCAGAGAGGATGTCAAGACTATACAAATTCTCAAGAGTGGTGCCTTTGATTACTGACCTAGCCAGGGAGGAAGTCCATAGCACAAACACTAGAAGTGACAGACTTCTGGAAGTGGCTCTTCAGCAATCTGGGAGGACCAGGGAAGCCAGACAGGCTCTCCTAGCCAGGGCTGGTGACTGGTACCCTCTGTGTCGACAACTCTTTTGCCGTAGCCCAACCACTGAATTACCAGGGAGCACGGAAGTGTTTGTGGAACTTCAGCAGAATTTGGCCTCAATGGTTCAAGTAGCAGCCAAAAGTGGTCCTGTGAATTTGGACGAGAAGAGCCCTGGCCCAATGGAGCACCCAGGAATGATTTTAGAGCTGCAAGGTAGATTGGAAAAAACAGAGGTCCATGCTAAACAGCTATTGGACCAAGTTCTGTCTTCTGTTGGTCGCCAAGCCCCCAAGGCGAGGGATGAGAACGTTGACAATGAGTGCCTTCTATGGGCAGTGGCTGTGCAGGACCTGATGCAGTGTATGAGGAGGCTCAGCAGGAGACAGAGCCTGTTCCTACTGCCCCTGCAGGAAGCAGTGAAGAGCCAGCAAGGGTTGCAAGAAGGGTTAGAGCAGGCAGCGCATGTTTCCCAAAAGTTACAAGAGGCCGCTGAGCTGTCTCGTGCTCTGTGTGGTGATGAACAGGTAAAGGATGAGGTTTCCTTCCTGTATCGAGAAGTTCATGTACTCACAGATGCCTTGCTGGAGGTGGCACATGTCCTGGTCTCCTCCCCCAAGCCATGTCCCAGCCTCTCCACACGCTTTGAGTTTCTCTGCTTGGAACTCGGCCTTCAAGTCAAGGCCCTGACCAACCATCTGAGCAGCATTAACGCTGTCTATGAGCATATGTTCCAAGATGCTGTTGGCAAGGGCTCCCAGACAAGGATGCTGTCTATTATCCAAGCTGTGCAGGGAATCATAGCAGAAAGTCAAGAGTCTGGACCCTTCCAGGAAGACCTGCTTGTGTCTCTAGAGAACATACTCATGCTCACTAAGGAGGTGGCCGAGAGGGTCCCTGAGCTCCAAGAACACCCGGAGGAGCAGGGATTGCATATGCTGGATTGGCTTAAGTGGGAATGGGCAGCCAAGGTCCACCATGCAGTGACTCAGCTCCAGGCCTCGGAAGGTGGTCCCACTGAGGCCTGGAGACTCCTAGTCCAATGCCTGAAACCCGGGGAAGAGCCAGCAAATGCCCCAGAGGATGTTCTGGTCCAGCTCCAGCTGCAATGTAAAGAATGGGCAGTAGAAACCTCTGCAGGGGGCAGTGTGGAGTTTCAGGATGCTGTTTCCAAAGGCATCACAGGAATCTCAATGAGGACCTGTGCTGATGAGCTAGCCACCACGGGAACCACCACAGCAGACGTGAGCATGGTAGGCTACTTGGCATCTTTCATCTACCTACACCTGGACCTGTTTTCTAGTAACCAAAGACCCTCACATATTCCAGAAACTCAATGCCCACAGAACATGTATAATTCGTACAGGGCAGGCAGTATGAGCAGCCTCTAAAAGCCTAGGCTTGGGGTTCAGCTACCCTAGCCCGCAGCTACCTCTGCCATGTCCTTACCAAAATCAGAGAGAAGTCTCAGCACCATTTAGACGCCAGCTTTCTAGTCCTCTAGAGGGCTGCTGAATGAGTCTCTGCAAAAATATTTCCCCTCCTTTAGCATCTAGTCTGTGTCCTAGGATGAGTGCCTTTCCATCAGCCTTTTGGAGTTTTTCCATGTTACTTTAACAAACTTTCCTATGGCTGCCAATACTCAGGCTGCTTCATCCACTTTGACCTGTACAGATGTCGCCTCCCTGCTCCAAAGTGACAGGAACACAATTAGAATAATTGTAGTGGGGGGGGGGTGAAGGGGTTTATTAGAAAGATACTAGGTCTGTCAAATGCCTCCCCTACATATCTGCTTCTTTCTAGGGCAAGACAGGACACTTAGGCATTAAGGATCTTAAAGATTGTATTTCTACTGACCATAACCAGAGTCAGTAGGCAACAGTACAGCTTAGCAGGACTCTAGTAGTTTCTATGCAGATACACTTCATTCAGTGTTTACCGCTCTAGAGGTGGGACCTGGGAGAGGAGAGCCTAAAACGAGGCAGACTCGAGTCTCCTGCCATAGCCAGCCTTATTCAGAGCCTCAGACAGTTTATACTCTGAGAGTTAAGAAAGGTCACATGAGGAAAGTTCTCGTGAGTTTGGGCTATACACAATCACAAGGACAAGCCCCATGTGGTACAACCCATTTTTCCACAGAAGCAGATAAACAGCAATAGGCAATTGTCATGGATAAACTCACTCCTTTCTGCTACACCCGGGAGGAGCACGAAGCACATTCCAAAAACAACTCTGTGGTTTTGAGGAAGCTGAGGTCTCAAGACTCTTGTTTTCTTGGCGTTCTCTCACAAGCACTCAGAATCCCGCTGCATGACTCCATCCTTAAACTGTGTTCTGACAATCTAGGATTTGATAGAGACCCATCTATCCCCACCGTGACCTTATAAATCCAAATAGCCTTCAGACTTCTCTCCCCTTCCCTGGCTCTCTGTAGCCGTCAGCACACACTAAGGATGCCACCCACTTACCAACTTGACTCCGGTTTCTGTCAATGCATCAGAAGTGTCACCCATAGCTGCAAGGCAGGGCGGCAGGGTAGGGAGATGGTGGGCAGCCAGCTTTCAGTCTCTGAGTCTGGAGTCTCTATCACACAATCCTCGGCCAATGTTGAAAAGTTTGGAGTCCCATCTGATTTGGATGCTGAAAGTCTCTGGTAGGTGTTAAAAAGGCCCTTTTCCAAGCTTCCTTACATATTAGTTCAGGTTTCTATTGTGATGGAGGAGGGTCATCTGTCTATGTGTTACTTTCATTGGTTGATAAAGAAACTGTCTTGGCCTTTGATAGGACAGAAAATTAGGTAGGTGGAGTAAACAGAACAGAATGCTGGGAGGAAGAAAGAGTGGGGCAGTCGCCATGACTCTCCTCTCCGAGACAGATGCAGGTTAAGAATCCTTCCCGGTAAGCCACCACCTTGTGGTGCTGCACAGATTATTAGAAATGGGTTAAGCAAGATGTGAGAGTTAGCCAATAAGAGTCTGAAACTAATGGGCCAGGCAGTGTTTAAAAGAATACAGTTTCCATGTAATTATTTCGGGTATAAAGCTAGGCGTGCGGGAGCCGGGCGGGAATGCAACCCACTGCTCCTACTACACTATTGCTGTGATAAAACATCATGGTCAAGTCAGCTTGAAAAAGCAAGTGTTTAATTGACATAACGGTTTCAGAGGCTTAAGGTCAGTGACGGTGAACTGAAGATATGGTGGCGGGAGGCTTGGAGAGCTCATATCTCGATCCGCAAGTAGGAGGCGGAGTGCACCCTGGGAATGGTGGGAGGCTGTTGAAACCGCAAAAGGGACACACCTAATGATACGCCTCCTCCAAGATGGCCACACCTCCTCACCCTTCCTCAAAAGTCCCACTAACTGGGACCAAATATTCAAACACATGAGCGTATGGGGGCATGCTCATTCACCCTGCCACACCCACTTTTAGCTCCAGACCACAACGTCCATTCTCCGTGGTCTTCAGTTGCTGCTGCTGAATTCCTGGTGAGTGAGTTCTTCATCACTTACTTCTTTTCAGCTACTCCTGCCTTCCCAGCTCCCAGCAGGCTGACGGGTGAGCCTTTCTAGAAAAGGCCTCTGCCCTCCACTCCCAGCACATAGGGACATCCTGATCTAAAGTCAGGCCATTGCTGAAGCAGACGACATCATTCATTTTCAGAAGGATGCTTTATATTGAAAAAGTCATACAGAAACCCCAGCAAAGACATGCGATTTATTAGTACTCACTAGCTGAGGATCCTAGCCCACTCCACAGGGCTACTACAGAGCACCGCAGATGAGGTGACTTGTAAAGAAAAGAAACTGAATTGGCTCACAGTTCTGGAGTTTGCACCTGTCTGAGAAGAGACAACCAAGGATATCTTCAATGCTTAGTTATTGGGGTCACTTCCAGTGTAGGACAATTTATCTTGATTCTGGGGTCAGAAAGAACACAGGAAAGATGCCACTAAAGATCTGATAGAAAAACCACATCTAAAAAAGTCAGGTCCAGCAGACTTTTCAGATGTTGGGGCTGCTGTTTCCTTAGGAGGAAGCCAAAATCAAGTTTTTAAGAAAAAAAAAATAGTTATTCACTGTGAAGACCTTTGGAATAGGATGGGTTCAAGTTGAAACATCCAAGAATTCCTGAATCTCCTTTTAAGAAGATGAACATCTTTTATTTATTCTTTGGCAGTTTTACACATGTGAACAATGTATCTTCCCCATCTCCATCCCCAACCATCACCTCCAATTTGACTCACAGGTCCCCTCTCCTACTCCCACTTAGTCTCCTCCCCACCCTCTTTTGGAATTGTCTCAGACCTATGGTCTCACTGTGTAGTCCTGGGTAGATTAGAACTCTATGTAGCCCAGATTAGCTTTGAACTCACAGAGATCTGCCTGTCTTGGCTCCCTGGTGCTGGGATTAAAGGTGTGCACCACTATGTCTGGGATCCCTATTTTTATTTATGTGTATGAGGGTTTTGTTTATCTGTATTTCTGTGTACCGCATGCATGCAGTGACCTAGGGCCAGAAGGGGGCATCAGATTCCCTGGAAGGAAATTACAGATGGTTCTGAACTACCAAATGGGTGCTAAGATTTGAACCTGGGTCCCCTGGAAGAAAAGCCAATGCTCTTAACTGCTGAACCATCTCTCCAGCCCCTTCTCCTAACAAAACAAAAACCAGAGACTGGAGAGTTGGGCCAATGGTTAAGACACTGGCTGCTCTTCCAGAGAACCTGGGTTCAATTCCCAGCACCCACGTGGCAGCTCACAACAGTCTGCAACTCCAGTTCCAGGAGATCTGACACAGTCATACAGAATATAGAAACAGCCAAAACACCAGTGTTTATTAAATAGATTTTAAAACAGGCAATCAAAAACCAAAACTGTAACCAAACAAACACACAAAACTGAATCCCATCAGTGCTGCCTGCTGAAATGCTAACTGTTCATGTTGGCTTGATTTTGTCCAGGTAATCAATCATAGCTGTGGTGGCTCCATGAACACAGTGGCCGTGCTGTGTCCAGAAGACAGCCTCGACAGCTCCCCATCCTCCAGTTCTTATATTCTGCCCTTCCTCAGTGTGCCTAGGCCTCGGTGGGGTGTCAGTTCAGATGTCTCATATAGGGCTGAACACTCACCTGTCACTAATTCTCAGCATGTTGACTAGCTAATGAGTCTGTGATGGCAACTGCAGAGGGCGGCTTCTCTGGCTAAGGCTGAGAAAGCACTAATTCATTCCTTCCTGAGCTGTCAGCAGCCTAACCCTAAGTTCTCCTCAGGAGGCCACATGCTCGTAAGCCTGAACACTCACAGGAAAGAAATACACTATGCCGCCTAGGTTGAGATTCAAGGATGCCGTGTTTCAGTCTCTGCAAATTCCAGGGAAACGGAGTACAGACTCACAGGGGATCATCATGTCTCTCCTTGGTGCTTCCCTACAGTACATTTGGAAGATTGCCCAGGGCTTTGAGGACTCAGAAAATCTGCCTGATTCCCTTGTGCCTTCTTTAAAATGATTTAAAAAGCGATTGAGAGGATGGGGTGAGGGAGAGGGCTCATTTACCGCTCCTGGTGGTGTGAAAGAAAATGGTCCCCACAGGGAGTGGCACTATCAGGAGGTGTGGCTTTGTTGAAGTAGGTGTGGCCTTGGTGGGAGTGTGTCACTATGGAGGCAGGCTTTGAGGTCTCATACATGCTCAAGCCACGCCCAGTATCTCAAACCACATCCTGTTGCTTGCACAAGATGTAGAAATCTCAGCTCCCTCTCCAACACCATGCCTGCCAGCGTACTGTAATATTCCCAGCCACCGTGCTCCCAACCATGATGACAAAGGACTGACTGAACCCCTGAAACTGTAAGCCATCACCTCAGTTAAACGTTTTCCTTTATAAGAGCTGCCGTGGTCATGGTGTCTCTTCACAGCAATAGAAACTCTAGCTAAGACACAAGCGTGAGGACTTAAACTTTATTCCCAGGTTAAAAACTTAGGTATACTAATTGTTACACACTTGTAATCCCAGCACGGGGGAGGGGGGAATGGCAGAAGTGGGCGAATCCCTGGTCCAGTCCAATGGCAGAGTCTGTCTCAAAAAACAATGAAGACATCTCCTGAGGAACACTGGCCTCCACGTGTGTACGAACACACATACACACACACACACACACACACACACACTCACACACACACACACAGAAGCATCCTCACTACAGTTCAGTGGCCTGAATGTCAGGAACTGTGTTGTTCTAACCCTCTGACCATCTTTCAGCACCAGCGTGGCAACCCCTCTCTGCCTCCTGCTCAGATGGACCAGACTGTTGAAGAGAATGGCGGTGCAGACAGCGAGAACAGAATCACACAGATCATACACGAGATGGCCAAGGAGGTGCTCCTGATGGCTCAGAGCTTGAGGAAGAGAGGGCGAGTCCTGGTACTTGATCTTCAGCAGGTCATGGTGGTGGGTGATTGGGCGCCATGTGGGAAGTGGTGTCTTGGCATTCCTAGACAGGGCTGGAAGGAAGGGTCACACTGAAGATCCTGTCAGTACCCCATCTCTGTAAAGTCCACCTCACTTCTCTCCTCCTCTCCTCTTTCTGGCTTGACTACTATGGTTTTCATCAATTATATCAGGGAAGATAATTTTGCCAAATCTTCAATGCAGTAAAATTAGTAAAAATCAAGGTGCCATTCATTCCCCAGAACAATGAGTCAAGAGTGTCATTTATGCCTTTTAAATTTTACTTTTTTTCTCTCTCTTTTTTTTTTTTTGGTTTTTCGAAACAAGGTTTCTCTGTAGTTTTGGAGCCTGTCCTGGAACTCACTCTGTAGACCAGGCTGGCCTCGAACTCACAGAGATCCACCTGCCTCTGCCTCCTGAGTGCTGGGATTAAAGATGTGCGCCACCACTGCCCAGGTTAAATTTTACTTTTAAGTGTCATTTCATTATTCCCCTATGTGTGCATGACCCACGGAGGGGCAGACGTGCTACGGCATGCCTATGGAGGTCAGAGGACAACTTTGTGGCATCAATGCCTTCTGTTTTTGTGGGTTTCAAGCTCAGCACACAAAGCGTTTGCAGCGAGTGCCCTTTCCCCAAAGCCACTTCAGGAGCCTGTTATTCACATCTTTTAAAGCTGACCTCTGGAACACTGTCTCAATGCCTATCAGGCCTTTAACTCAGTGTCCCCAGTTTACCTCAGTCTTCCGAGTGCTGGGATTACAGGTCCACGTGTTAGCACACCTTGCTGCTTCCCCCTCCACGCCCCCGCTCTGGCCGCCCCCGGATGACAGAGAGGACTGAGTTCCCTTGAATGCTAGCCCATTATGGCTGGCATCCCTGGAGGGGAAGGGCCTTTTCCCACTAGCTTCTAGAGGCTGACTTCCACCGTGAGCCTATTCCCACTCTCTGTAACCCTCTTCTTGATTAAACTGAGGCAATGTTAGCTATCAACATGCCATAATGGGAAAAATAAATAAATAAATAAATAAATAAAGAAAGAAAGAAAGAAAGAAAGGTGCTTACTTTGTGCATAGACCAAAAGGAAGACACAAGATGGCAGGTAAAAAACTTCCAGCGTGGGCCTAACAGGCACAGATGGCTTCAAGGGACCTGACTTTCCTATCCTGGGGCAGGACAGAGGGTTCAGGAGAGAAGGGAAGTACACCCCCTGGCTATATTACTACAGGGACAAACCCAGAGCCTCCATTACACCAAGACTCAGATCTTCCGTTGTTGGGTCCCTTCTCTCAGCTCCCCCAGCCAGTCAACTCTGGCTAAACCAGAGACACCCAAGGGCACCCAAACAGGTGTGGCTTTCCAGGATGTGTTTCCAAATCCAGTGTTCTGATTTAAATAGGACGCAGGTTTCTGCAGGGGTGTGTGGCTAAGAACCTAGGAACTTGCAAGCCCTGCATCCCTTGTGTTTACGGAGAGATGTACAATCCAAGGGCCATTTTAGGAGTGGGGTTTGCTTCTGGTAGGAAGTGGCTATGCAGAATTCACCCGAGTTCCCCAATCTCACATCCTGATCATAATACCATTTTTTTTTAATAACTGAAGTATTGTGCTCTTGAGTGAAACAAAAATAAGACAGAAAATATCTAATTAGGGCTGGGGTTATTTGGTAGATCTCATTTGGTAGGACACTTACCTAGCATGCACAAGGCCATGATTTAACCCCAAGCACCACATAAGCCAAGCGTAGTGGTACGTGCTGGTTATCCCAGCACTCTCAAGTCAGAAGTCCAAAGCCATCGTCAGCTATATCAGGAGTTCGAGGTCAGCCTGGGATATGTGAGCCTAGGAGTCTGGGTCCTGGTCTTCTGCTGCCCCCACACAGGAAGAATATTGTTCCTCATTCAGTCAGGTTTTCTATAACCCAAGAGAAAGCCCTTAGAGTTGACTCAGGAGATGGTGGTTTAGGCTCAAACGCACTCATTTCCAGGGGCAGAAGTAGTTGAGCTAAGAAAGCTGAGGGCAAGCGTTGTAATTTGTCCCTGATGTCTCGGGGGAAACCTATGAAGGCAGTGTTTACCTACCTCTCACATTTCCTTCTCTGATACAGACCAAAGATCAGCTCATTGCCTCAGCCAGAAAAATCTCAGCTTCCGGAAGAAACATCGCCAGACTCATTCACATCATTGCTAAGAACTGCATAGATCAGAGATGCTCCGGTGAGCTTCTGTGTATGGTGGAGCAGATTCAAACCATGAGCAGCCAGCTCAGCATCATCTCCAGGTAGGAAGCAGCTTGCGAGAGAATGGCTAAGTTTTGTGAGGCCCAGTGGGGATGGAGGGTGAGTTATTTGTATATGTTTAATGACTTACCCTCCTAGAGTTTACACTGGTCCCTCCCCCATGCCGAACACAGGCCCTTACTCTATGGCATGGCTGAGCTCACAACACTTCAGGGGTAGTTAGCCTTTGACACAAGTGACTGACACCCTTTCTTTGTAACCACGTGTACATTTTGACAATCCTCTGTTTTTATGTTAATCATATCTAATGAAAATGCCAACTACCTTTTAAAACATGGTGCACAGTGACATTTTGGACAGCGGAAGACTGCATATGTGATGCTGGTTCCATAGGATACTCACGTGATAACAGCACAGCACTCTTGGTTTGTAGTGTAGATGCATGCACGTCCATGCCAGAGAACATGGGGAAGTCAGAACAACTTGTAGGGTGGCCCCATGGTTAAGAGCACTAGCTCCTCTTCAGAGAACAGAGGTTTGACTCCCAGCACCCACATGGTGGTGCACAACCGTAACTCCATCTCCTGGTGATTGGCATCTTCTTCTGGCCTTCATGGACACCAGGTACACACATGGTACATGTGTACACATGCAGGCAAGATACTCATACATACAAAAATAAATCTTTAAAAAATAATAATAAAACTTGGCAACTGCTCTCCAGGAAATACCATTTCAGATGCATCATCATCTTGTTTTCCAGGTGCCCAGACCCGAATAGTCACATGGAAACTATATTAATTACAACACTGGCCATTGGCTCGGTTGTATTTCTAGCTAGCTCTTACGTCTTAAATCAACCCATTTCTCTGTATTACCACGTGGCTATGGCAGTACCTCATTTTCTACACATCTTGCTTCCTCAGTGGCTGACTGGCATCTTTCTCCTTTGTCATCTACATGGCACTCAAGATTAGCTGACAATATTTTTCTACATAAGACATAAATATGAAAATGACTACCACAAACAAATCTGTTTTATCATCAAAATGAGACCACCCCATAGACACAAGGCTCATGGTTCCAAGCAGGGAGAATGAAACAAAAAAAACTTCTCTGGAGGCTGGAGAGATGCCTCAGAGGTTAAGAGCATGGACTGCTCTTCCAGAGGTCCTGAGTTCAATTCCCAACAACCGCAGGGTGGCTCATAGCCATCTGTAATGAGATTTGGTGCCCTCTTCTGGTCTGCAGGCATACATGCAGACAGAACACTGTATACATAATAAATAAATCTTACAAAAAAAACAAAAAACCAAAAAACTTCCCTGTGTCAACCGGCAGGAAGCACTAGGGGGAAATAGGCAAAGCATTTCACTGGGTTCTCATGGGAAGGAATGGGCAAGGCCAAATGAGCAGGCTAAGCATGTGTAGGACTGATTATTTTGGATTTGGAAGCTGTGTTTGCAGGTAAGTCATTTGCTCCGTCTGGGAACTGGTGAGCCCTGGAAGAGGCAGTTCCTCCAACATCAGCCTGCATACAGCTCTGTGCAGGGTTTATTCTTGTTCATGTTTTGATGACAGCTGGCGTCTGTTCCGTTTCCTTTACTCAGTCATTTCCATGAACGACACACTCTTCTTTGTCATTATAGATGCTATATGACTCACATTTTCTTGGCATTAAAGCAAAATTTTCACTTAAAAATGCTAAATTAAGCTCTTAGAGTGGTCTTCCCCGGGACTATGGAGACAACACCTGCATGAGGAGGACTTGAGTTTGATTCCCATCTAAAAACTGTGTGTGGTGGTGTGTAGGTCTAACCCCAGGGCTGAGGAGGTGAAGACAGGGGGTTCTCCGGGGTTTACTGCTATAGCCAAACCTGTTAGCTCCAGGCTCAGCGAGAGACGCTGTCTCAACAACAACAAAAATGGAGGGGGGGGGACGACAATTGAGGAAAACATTTTCATTGTTCTCTGACATGCGTGTACACACACACACACACACACACACACACACACACACACATCCTTTGCCTGAATATTCCTACCAAAGTGTCTCAACTTTCTGTATGGGGCTTCTTGACAATACTGGTATTTATTGGCAATCGCCTCCTAACCTGGGTTAAAGACTTCTTTCTTTCCCAACACCCACAGCGTAAAGGCCTCCCTGGCAAGAAGCAAGTCCTCTGAAGAGCTCCTTCTAGACAATGCACAGCGACTCCTCCAGGCAGTCTCCAAGGCTGTGAGGGCTGCAGAAGCCGCCTGTCTTCGGGTGAGTGCCACAGGGACCTGACAAATGCCAGCAGTCACCAGGACGCCTTCTCTTAGCTATTCCACGCTGTTCCTTCGAAACCAGTGACCTCACTTCCTGTCGGTTTATTTGCATGTTTTCTCTAGCCTGGCCTTAATTTCAACCCTTCTTTAGCCATGCTCAGCCTGCAGATGAGCCTACCTTAGCGTTCCACATACCTTTGCTATGTGTTCTTCTGTTTTAGGTTTCCCTTTTTGTTTGTTTAGTTAGTCCAATGAAGTTTTTGTTTTTGAGGTAAGAGCATGGATAGCCCACACTGGGTTCAAACCCACTGTGTAGCCCAGCCCGACCTTTAAACTCAGGGTCTTTTTACCTCAGCCTCCTGAGTGCTGAGGTTGTCGGTGTTTACTACCAGGCCTAGATCTCTTTTTTTTTTTTTTCTTTTGTAGGATTTATTATTTACCTGTGCATTTTTGCTCACATTTCAGTTAAAGTTGTGAAGATATTAATTGCAGGGGTATTCACTTTCTTCTCTGATAACAGGCTCAGATCTGACTCTAGCTGATTTAGGGGCTTTGACTTTTGTTGTTTCTTGACAATGGATGGGGAGTGTTTTGTTTGCATGTCTTATAACTTTCCATTGGAAACTTGACATTACATGTAGATTTTAAATGCTAATTTTTACACATATATTCATGTCCTCCAGGCATTGACCTGACTTGGGTTTTATTGTTGCAATCACTGAGGATTTCAGGCTTACCTTGTGTTTGGTTTACTGTCCTTTCCTCAATAACCGAAGACTTCCATTCAATAAAAAAGGACATATCAACAGTGGTTCACGCCTATGTGACAGGAGTTGCTCCCTTCCCCAAAGCCTGCATCTCAGAGAGGGCTTCTTAGTCCTCTATCCCAACCCGAGCCTTTCTAGGGAGCATCAGGCGAGGTCTTAGACAGAAAACTCTGAGGACACATGGACCTTGCTTGTGGATGGGCGCTATACTCACACTAATCCAATTTGGACATTAGCAATTTGTTCATTTTATTTTTCAGTTCTGGAGGTCAAAGTCAGTGCCCTGAAGAGACTAGGCAGATGCTCTCCTACTGAGTTGCATTCATAGCCCTTAAAACTTTTCCCCAAGCCTTACGTTCAATTACATGGCTGCCCTGTCTCCCCACAGGCTGAGTCTTGTGCAAACCAGTCCTATTCCCATCTCTCCTCAGAGATGTCTGTTTTTCAATACACCTAAGGCTGGAGAACCTCAAACTCAGTTCTCAAATAGATTCAAGAAAGCACAGTTTTGTGTAGTGACTGACTGTCTCATTGGGGGGAAAGCAACGCTTTCCTGGCTTCCCGTATCTTAAGCAACAGCTTTAGATGGATGCTATTGGCATGCCTAAGAGGGCACCTCCCCCGGTCTGATGTAAGACACTGGAGGTGGATGCAGGAGGATCGGAAGTTCAAAATTATCTTTAGGTACACAGCAAACTGGAGGTCAGCCTGAGCAACATGAGACCCCCATCTCAAAGCAAAACAAAACCCAAATCAAAAATAGATTAAGTAAATAAATAAGAGATTGCATAAGGCCTCTGTGTGAGGCCTACCTCTGTCCTCATCACTTCTTCCCAGGCCTGGTCGCTTCTCCTTCAGACCTGAACTTAAATCCTACCTCCTCTGAAGGGATGAAACACCTCAACTGTACGGAGGCCTTTTGACTCCTGATAGAGTTATGCCCCTAGGAACCCACCACAAATTGAAAATATGGTTAAATCATAAATGCATTTCAGGCCGGACATTGTGACATACACCTATAATCCCAGCAGTTAGGAGGCTGAGGTAAGAAGATTGGAAGTTGGAGGCTAGACTGGGATTCATAGTGATGAAACCTTGTCTCAAAAAGGGAAAAGAAGGGGCAAAAAAAGCTAACAAACAAAAACATAGAAGACACATTAATAGTTTGACCAAATTCTTAAAAATTACTTAGTTTTTATTTTATGTATATAAATGTTTTGCCTGCATGTGTGTCTGAGTATCATATGTATGCAGTGCCCTCAGAGGCGGTTTTGGGGGCGGGGGGTGTCAGATCCTCCTGGAACTGGAGCTACAGATGACTGTGAGTCAGCATGTGGCTGCTGGGAATCAAACCCAGGTCTTCTAGAAGACCAGCCAGTGCCCTTAACTGCTGAGCCTGGTCTCCAAGCCCTAATAGTAATATCTTAAGACATAATCATATTTCAAAGCTGTAAATTGGTAATCATAAGTCAGGGATCATCTGTAATGCAGACTAAGTCATATCCAGTTTCTTGTTTCAGTTCTTTGTGTGCAAGACACAAGCAGAGGAAAATTTTGGATGGGGAGGGAAAAAGATATTTTAATATGTGTGGGTATTCTGGCCTGCATATATGTCTGTGTACACACGTGTGCTTGGTGCCCGAGGAAGCCGGAAGAGAACACTGGGTCCCTTGGAAGAGGAGTTAGAGGTGATTGTGAGCTATCATATGGGTGCTGGGAATAAGACCTGGGTGCTCAGGAAGAGCAGCCAGTGTTCTTAACTGCTGAGAGGGAATGTAAGAGAGCTGGCGGTGATCTCAGAACATTTATTTCACTGGGATAAATCTAAAGCCCTTTGCTCTACTTTTCATCTCCTTCCAGGGTGGGTGGTCTCTTGCCCCCTTCACAATGATACTTGATGCTGTATAATGAGAGCTGTGACTCTAGAAGGAACCCCATAAGAGCAAGCTCCACCAGGGTCCTCAGTATTGAGCTTGACTTCTTCCACTCCTGCAGGGCTTGAGATGGCCTTCCTCAGATCCAGAGGAGCTGGAGGTGGCTGCCTTCTGCACACAGTGGAAGAGGAAACTACTACAACACCGACTTCAAGAAGCCTCAGACAAAGACTGTGATGGGCTGGGCTTACGAAAAACAAGCACGAGGAACCTCCCAGCATTGGTGGCCCTGGTTCAAGACACATTATAAAAGCTGAGGCATATTCTCCAAATCAGCCTGTGTTGACCAGTACTGTGGTAACTCAGCACGCCTGTTGGGCGGAATCTGAGACATAGGTAGATGTGGCCAGGGCTTGTGCTTTACAGAGCTTCCCTGACAGCATTCCTGGTTAAGAACATGGGGCACTGATGGAAACTTAACAGGGAATGCTCCGGTCTATATGTGATACAAACAGCGGGATTTAAAAAAGAGCAGCACAGACAGAAAACGAATGTGAACGTACTTGAAGAGACTCATGCCTTTTTGTTTCTTGTTTGTCCCATCTATTCTTTCACTCTGTTCTGCTCATTCTGTTTTTTAAACCACTTTATTATTTCACATATCATAATATTCATACATCTAAATTATATCTTCAGTGGTTTTTAATGCTCACAGATTTATCAACACAGTTTAGATAATCCCTTTAGTAGTCTTTTCTTTTGCCCAGCCTAGTAGCTGTTAATTACTTTCTGTATTTATTTTAATTAATGTTTTAAGTTTCATTTTACATTCCATCCCCCATCCACTCCTCCTCAGGGGTAAGGGCTCCCATGGGAAGTCAACAAAGTCTGCCTGGTGCTTGGTGTGGATCTTTGCATCTGGTTCCATCAGTTGCTGGACAAAAGCTCTATGATGACAGTTGGGGTATTCACCAGTCTGATTACAGGGGAAGGCCAGTTCAGGACCCCTCTCCACTATTGCTAGAAGTCTTAGCTGGGGTTGTCCTGTGTGTTCCTGGGAGTTTCCCTAGCACCAGGTTTCTCCCTAACCCATATGTCTCTCTATATCAAGATCTCTCTTTCATTGCTCTCCAACTTCATCCCTCTCTCTCCTCAACTTTTTTTTTTTTTAAGATTTTCCTAGACTGGACACTTTCTATAAATAGGATAATATAAGTGGTTCTTTGTGACTGGCTTACATTGCTTAGCATAGATTTTGAAAGTCCATTTATATTGGTACTTAATTTCTTCCTGCCATTTCCATTGTATGGGCATACCACACCTTACTTACCTGCTCACCAATGGCTGGACATTTGGGTTCTTTCCAATTTTAACTCTTCTGAGTAAAACTCGCATTGAGCTTATTGGAATGGTATTGTGGATAATACTTCTGCATTACTCTCTTTTTCTGTCAAATATATAATTATGTCACATCTCTCAGTTTCCTTACAGTTCATCTGTGCACTGGTCCCCCTCCCATTATTACGGCTAGTGATTCATTAATTTTATTAAACTTCTCAAACAACCATATTTTGGTCCTGTAGATTTTCTTGTATTTTTGTTTTTATTTCCTACACTCATAGCTGGTTAAGGCAGAAGAATAGAACTTGTTCCCTCATTGCAAGCGGAGAAGAAGTCCTGTGGGGTGGCTTGATGTGTGGGCAAAGTGAGTGAAGGGCCGAGGCTAGGCAGGAGGAGGAAAGTCCTCAACCATCAAACCCACCCGTAGATCCTACGTCCCTGAAATGATCACCTGCTGCGATAGTGGCACCAATGTTCTGGGAGTGACCAACTATTTCCTAGTCAGGATTTGAGGGCTGATCCACGGGATGGAATATGTGCCCGGCATTGCAAACCTGGTCAAAACTTTTATGTCTATGTGGGTCACAGGTCCTATAGTGAGCGTACTACTGATGTTTTGCCAACTTGTAGCTAAGCTGCCTTGTGTTTGCACGCATAGACTAGTGCAGTTCTTAGCCGTGGTTAGAGAGGCCTATTTCAGCAATGGGCAATGGTCAAAGCAGGGACTCATAACTAGCTAAAGTATTGGAAATGAGTGTTGGTCCTAAGGGGAACATCTGTGTCACCTTCTCTGAGGCCCAAGGAACATCAAGCAAGATGGGATAGGACTATGGGAACCAAGCATGGGAAAAATATGGCGGGGCATTGAACACGTGTTCTGAATATGACACAACAATCACACCAATTCAGCAAGCCAGCTGACCAGTGAACTCCAGGGATTCTCCTGCCTCGTTCTCCTTGGTGCTAGGATTATAGGTGTGTGCCATCGTGCCTTGTTTTTCATATGGGTGCTGTGGACCTGAACTCAAGTTCCCATTGCCTGTACAGCAAGTATTGGGCCAACTCTCCAGTCCCTCCATCATTCTTGAGCAAAGGAATTTGCATCTTGTAGCTGTGGCATGTGATACTCAGTTAAAGCCTGAATGACACTGTTCATACAGAAGAGGCACCAAGACTAGACTATGCTGGCTCTCAGTGAAGCAGTTTCTGGTGATTAGATTGATTGGTCAACAATTAAATCTAGTAATCTTGTAAGTTCCCATAAGGCAATGAACACTTGATCAGTGAACAGACTAAGAGAGAAGCCAGAAACCATCTTACTGTCATGTTCCCTGACCATGAAGGGTTGCTGAGCATCTCCTGCTGCAATGAGATTCCATTTTGACCCCAATGAGTTCCTGCAGTTGATTTTCTAGCAACCTGTCAGAGTCACATATTCTAAGCATAGTCAACCTACAGCCTGTGTGCTGCGTGCATCCCGGGGTGTTGGAGCACACAAGATTATACAGGAAATGTACAGCTGACAGACCAATAGACTAATCCACAGGAGTGTATACATACATGTCCACATGCAATAACCCGTTTTGCAGAGCTGCAGGAACACTTGTCTTTTGAAAAAGTCATTGTTGTAATGGTAAAAATAAAATGGCACCATTCCCTGAGGGGCCCGTGAGCCTTGAGGGGTAGTGGGTCCCAGGCAGGTGAGAGACAGAGACAGAAAGGCATGCCATGCAGAGAAAGTGGGTATTTACTTAGTGGGTTATGGAAGGGAAGAGGAAAGAGGAGAGGGAGAGAGAAGGCAGACAAGGAGAAAGACAGACAGAGAGAGAGAGAAACAGAGGGGGGAGCAGGGAAGAAGAGAAGAGAAGAGAAACTACTTCTTCGGGAAAGAGATGGAAAAGGAAGGAGTTCAGGCTGGAAGTGGAGGATGGGAGGGAGTGGACAGGGCTTGTCTCTTAAAGGGACAGGACAGACCATTACAGTTGTCATGTCTGTAAAAGCCTCATGTAGCCATGATTCTCCCTTCAAAATGGGATTCATTCCCAAAACACCTCAGCAGTGTAACTTCTCCTGCACAGGCAATAGAATGAATGACCTTTCCATTCCCCACACCATGAGACCTTAGGGTGATAACATTCACTCTTTGTTCTAACAGTCAAGATTACATAGAGTCAATCCCACAGAATTACCTAACAGACCACATAAAATTTCTATAGAAGACAGGCACTGAGCAGGAAGGCAGCACACCTGCTCTTACCAGACAGACAGGTCAGGGTGTGAGTGAAGTCCAGATTCAGGGACAGTTAGTAACTTTATTTAATGGTTTGGAATGTCAGCTATTTCCCCTTGAATTCTGACTCTTTCCTGGGTGGTGTCACCTGTTCCAGAGTGCTGCTTTGTCAGGTTCTACCTGCCCTTTTTGTGTGTGTGTGTGTGATTTTGATATGTATATTATCATTGTCCTTGCCTATGGGATTTTCCAACCATGTCTGTAAGAACTAGAACCTCATTGGAGATTATGCTTCTTCTTCTCCTCACTGTTTCTTCATGCAAAGGAATTAAGAACATGTAGTGGTAACATTGAATTATTCTGTTTACCCTCAGATCCAGTTATCCAGTTTTTGCTGGCCATAGCAAATCTTTCTGGGTCCTGAGATTTAATGGGCTTAACCCCAAAATAAACCTCAATTACCAGGGTAACTATGAATGTCGCTCAAACAAAACCATCAACCTTAACATGCCATTATGTCTTTTTAGATAGCTGCCCAGTGCAAACTCTGTAGGTGACGTCACAACATCAGAAGAATGCACACACCTGAATGTAAGAGGGTTCCTAGAATGAAGACAGCTGGGAACAGGGCCTTATGCTGCTAGTCTGTAGTTAGATAAGGCATAATTTCCCTGAAGAAAGGATTTGCTGAAGGACAGTGTTCCCTTTTTAGGAAGCCTTGGGATGATCCCCATTTATAAACTCTTGTATGTGCACAAGGCTCCCTTGCCTTGAAATGCTGAAATTAGAGCAAAATAGCACACTTCTAGATGCACACAGTAGAAATGCTTTTAAATTCAGATAATACAGAAAAAATACTACAGAAACTTGCAACAGTTCCTCTGCTGAGAATGTCAATTAGAAATTTTACTAGTAAATTAAACAAAAAACAAAAAACAGCATAATCTGCTTTTTCCCAAGTGATTTGCTAGCTCTTAGTGTTATAGTTATCAATTCAGCAAAGCACACCCTTGCTGTATTCTCTGAACAGATTAGCGATGGAGTTGTTCCAGTAAATTGGTATATATAAACTTTCCAAGGTGAAATAGAAGAATTACCCAAAAATCTGACATACAATTTTGGGAAATAAAATAATCACACTGGAAGCGTCAAACAAAACACTTTATCCTGAGTAGGTATAACCCAGATTTCAGCCCAGACAGATGGTGCGAGTGGATCTGAAAGCAAACACATCACCAAGTCTAGACACCTCGGGCACAGGCCACCAAAGGCCCTGCCTTATGCAAGCACTGAAGCCCTGTGGAATCCTAATCTTGGATCTATGCTGAGCACCTTTCTGAGTGAGGCGGCTGGGGCATAAGCAATGTAAAAATGTTTTAAATTTTGTCAAGTCAATATGCAAATGACTACTTCTTGACTTCTATTTTTATTTACAAGGCAGTATACTGTTTTTTTTTTTAAAAATCTCTTCTATCTTAACTTCCCTCCTAAGCACCTGGAGGAAAAACTGTAAGATGGAGGCACGTGACACCCTCCCTGAGTGGGTGACCATGCTCTCCTTTGTGTTGACTTTAAAAGCATGCAAAATAAGACAGGGCATCACTGACAACACAGAGGCACGATGGCAACGGGGATCCTGGGAAAAACTGTTACTGTTTAAAAATTCGGCCTCTATGTGTTTATTTCTTTATAATAAATTATTATGGATAAAACCTCCTTGGCAAGATACTGCCATTGTT